CCTTTCAAAACCCTAATGCCGCCCGTAGTCATGATACAAGAGGCAGGGGTTTAGAACGGCATCCATATATAACCATGTTATCATTATTATCCAACTGTTACTGAGGGGGGCAGTACCCAACCTAAATCCAAAACCTATCCTATCCGCCCAAGGGTTCGGGTTCCATCCTAAGCTGGACCGGTCGCTGAGCGTAAGCGCCGATCTTTTCATTGCGGGCATCTCTACAAGGTTTCTGAGGCAGGGCTATGGCTGATGGTGGGCTTCACAGGCTTTAATAGGGTTTTCTTGGGGATGGATAGGGCTTAATTATACTTATCAGAGGAATTAGTAGGCTTTATGGAGATTAGGTTTTAGGGCTTCATCGGAATGATCGGGTTTATGGTTTGTGGCTTGACTGCCGGTTGAGGCGCTGAGGGTATAACACTACCCTAAACTTCAAATCGTAGACCCTAAATCCTAAACCCTAGACCCTAGAACCCTAAACCCTAAACCCCCTAAACCGTTTGGGGTTGAGGGTTTAGAGCTCCCTAAGCCCTAAGCCCTGGCGTGGAACATTGGTGAGGCCGGCTCATGGAAGGGCCACCATGCGTGAAAACTGGGCTGCAATTAAGTAAGTAGTGGATAATACCATGACAAGGTAAGCATTCTATCTCCCATATATCCATAAAAGCTAACTTAACTGAAGGTCCTTAACAGCATCTAAGCAGCATCAGCATCTTACAACAACTGTTAATCAAGGTATCCCTAGGCTGGGTTGTGATGTCTTTGCAAATTTTCTCGAACTCCTGGAGACGCTTTTACAAAAAACCTAGTGTGGACCCATCATTCACAAACACGCTCCTCCATAGGCTCATAATAGGGATCCCAAAATTTCGGCCCCAAAAAGGAAGGGTTTATTAATCATAGTAGTTTGCATTTTCTTTCCCAGTATCCCTATATAATCCCTATATTCGCACTATATTTCAATTCTACCCCTATATTACCTCTATAAGGCCCTCAAAGGTAGGGGGTTTATCAATCATGGGTCTACATTAAACTTAAACTGCTTCTCACCCTTCAAGGAAGCTCAGGCCTAAGGATTCAAAAGCTCAACCCAGACGCTGAACCCTAAACCCTCGAAACCATATAAACTTACCATTACGTAGGGTTCCCAAATTTCCTTACTTCCAAAANNCCCCCCCCCCCCTGCCCTCCCCCACACCCCGCCCAAAAAAAAAAGTGAAGGTAATAACCGCTAGACCCTATACCCAGCCCTGAACCCTAAACCGCAGACCCTATCCCTGAACCGTTGAGCGCTCATTTGCTGGGGTGTGGCTTCAAGGGATTTGCGCTGTGACCAAAACTTGCAGCCTAACACTTGATATCCTTCACCGGCACCCAAGAACATCTATGAGTACCTATGATATTGGAACCGAAACCCTACACTCCCGGAAACT